CCAGCTGTGTTGGGAGCGGTGCATTATGGGCAGCTATCCCAGCATTCATGTGGCTGCAACGTGCTTTTCAAAACGGGGGGGTGGGGTGGAGTGTGACAGGGAATGTGGGGGGAAAGAGAGTGCTTTTTGGAGCATGTCGGCTCTCTATTTTGCAAGTTCCGAACTCCCGGCCCCCTGCTCATTCATTCACTCACTCACTCAAAGCAAGCTGCAATCTGTTTGCTTTTCTCTGTGATAGGAGCTTTGAAACCGGCACTTCCACACTCCTGCAGCCGGTCACAACAATGGAGAGGATTGGCCACTTGACAAGGTGATTAGTACAGCGCTGCAAGCGTTTACACTCACACCCGTGAGTCGTAGCCACTCCGCTCGGAGTACCTGCAGCGGTGTACCCAGGGAGATACAGCGCTGTAAGTGCCCTGCCAGTGTGGACGGGGAGTGAGTTACAGCGCTGGGGGAGGCTTTACAGCGCTGTAACTTGCAAGTGTAGCCAAGGCCCTAGTCTAGAGAAGCATATTAATTCGACCGTGAACTGGGAGAAGAGATCCTGAGGTTTCTTCCCAGGCAGCCAGAGGGGATTTTCCATCCTTCCCATTCTCTCACACTAATTACCTTCCAGGCTTTCTCCTCTGCTCTCCTGTATGCAGCTGATATCCCCTTGTTGTAATTCTGCATGGGGGTTGGTGTCAGCCTGCATGAGTCCCTACTGGACTGGAACTCGGAGTGATGGAGGGCACAGGGTTACCCCCACAGCTGGGTTTACGCCCTGGATCTTCACTCCCCATGATCACTAAGCGGGGCCCACACACAGCTCCCTGGGATCTCCCTGCATCCCCAGCCTCGTGTGCCTTTGAGTCCTTTGCACTGGGGAAGTTCTGGGTACTCCAGTGCCCTGCCTCAAGGGCTCTGCTTACCTCCAGCAGTCGAATGGTCCCCGTGAGGTTCACCTTGTAATACTCCAGGGGTTTCTGAACAGACTCCCCAACGGCCTTCAGCCCTGCAAAGTGCATCACAGCTGAAAAACGGTGCTGCAAGGAAACAAAGAGGCCAAGGGTCAGTGCTGGCTGGGAGAGAACTTGGGTTAATGACACCAGCAAAAAGCCCCTAGGGCTGGTTGGAAATTTTCTGTCAAAACTGTTTTCGACTAAACAAAATGTCTCTACAAAAAGTGTCTGCTTGCCACAGAAAAATTCGACTTTCGGTCAAAAGAACCCCAACACCTGAAAATTCCAAATTTTGATTTGGAAATGCCACCATAGTGGCTCTTGGGAGTTGTAGTTCAGGTGCCTCATGCTCCCATTCTTCTCTATGAGCCATGTTCCCCGGCCAGACTGCATCTCCCATGGTGCACTGGGGCAAGCCAGCAAGAAGGGAGACTGTTGTGAGTCAGGGGAGGTGTACGCACCCAGCCCATAGAGAACAGGGACATGAAGCATCCAAACTACCAGGAGGCCCTGCTCTAACAGTTCCAAAGCCACATTTTTGGTTTGCATCCTGCTTCTGGCAGGAATTTTTCAAGTTTTTGATTTCTTTTGCCAGAAATGCTGACATTTTCCGTGAGGGGAAAAAAAAAAGGACAATGTTCTAAAACCTCCCTGTGTCCCGTGGATACGTTTGTCTCGCTGCTCCCAGTCTAGAAACACCATCCTGCTCCCTCAGCACATGCTTCAACAGCTTCCCCTTGTCAGCACAGCACCTTGCGCAGCAGGAAATGCATATTCCCCCCTTCCCCGGCAGGATCGCCGCGTGCTCACGTGCTCACCTTCTGAAAGAGCTCCCGCAGAGCTGCCTCGTCAAGGATATCCAGCTCCTGGAAAAGAATCTTCTTGCCCACAATCTCCTGCACGCGCTGCAGGCTTTCGGGAAGAGTATCTCCCCCTGGGGAGACAGGTTATTCTGTAACGCCAGGAGAGATCAGGCCTTGACCATGGGCACTCAAGTGGGACTGAGGGTCACCAGGGGCCACAGGATGACAGGACAGAGCCCAGGGGGGCAGTGGCAGTGGCTCTCCTTACCTCGGATGGCATTGTGGAAGTTATCGATCACCACCGGGATATAGCCGGCTTCCACCAGCTCCAGCACGCAGTGGCTGCCAATGTACCCAGCTCCACCTGTCACAAGGATCTTCTCTGCCATCCTCACCTAAGATGGGATGGGAAAACCCATTGAGTGGGATGACAAATGGAGAGAATGGAGTGAAAGGGGCAATCTTGGGGGCCGGACACTACAGTGACAGAAACCTTAGAAATAATTAGACAGATGGAGCATAGGAATTGCCTTAGTAGCACCCGTAGGTTGGATCATCTAGCCAGGATCCCACCTCTGACAATGACCAATCCCAAATCATTGAAGAGAATAACCTGTCCAGAGGGTAAAACCCAGGCAGCTAGACACCTAAATACCTCTAAAAATCTGGCCCTTTGTGCTTGTCTTATGCCCTAAATCATGAGAGTTTATCTCCAATCCCCTAGAATGGTCATCCAAGGAACTGCTCATTCTTTTTTTAACCCTACTAAGATCTTGGCCTCATTGATACCTAGTGGCAATGAGTCCCACAGGCTAATTTCACATCATGTACAAATGAATTCAGGTTTAATTGTGTTGCCTCATATTTTAACTGATGGTCCCCTTGTTCTCATACTATGAGGAAGGGTAAATAGCCGCGCCCGATCTGTGTCAGTATCAGTCTGGAATCAGAGCTCAGGAGCTCCTAGCTCCCCACCCTGTGCTCAGGCCACTAGCCCATGCTGCCTCGCACGAACGTGAGCTCATTCTCAGGTTAGTCACCTGCTTGACATCACAACCAGTCCCACAGCAGCCAACAAGGGCGTCGCCAAGGAGGGATTAGAGCTTGAGCCAGATCAGATGAGCTCTGAAAAATAAAGCTCTCTGCACCATGCAAGCGAACCAGCCAGCAAAGCACGGGTAGCCATCCAGACGACCCTACCCTGCCGCAAATGCAGGATTGGCCCCGACAGACTCCAGCCCCAGGTGGGGGAGAAAAGCAGCATAAATCTACACCCAGGTTAACCCCATCCCCAAACGGAAAAGGTCGGGACTACAGCAAACCACCTGCTCCATATCTAGCCAAACAAACAAATAAGCCCAGCCCCATTTCTCTGCAAGGGAGAGAGCCCTGCCTGCCAGGAGGAGCAGGGACCCAGCTGAGGGTCCTTAGCCAGCTCTTTCTGTGAGTGGCCAGCTGGGGAGCTCGAGGAAGGAGGCAGCGGAGTCAAATCACTTCTCTCTGTAGTGGGGAGAGTAGGTTCCACCGAGGGGACGCCCAGCGAAGCCGTTCTCTCCCACTCTTCAGGGTGTAGCTTATTCAAGCAGTCTCACTTAGGAGTCAGAGGTTACCTTCCACGTTTCCTAGTCCTTCGTATGCCCTGCAGGGAAAGAGGCTCCAGAGAGCCGGAGCTGGGGAGGTCTCTGACCTGGCAGGAATGACTAAGTCTATGGGGAAATCCACCCTCTTTTGCCCAGGAATAAACATTAGCTGCTTGTCTGTGCTGTCTAGTACAGCCAGCCGGCCGGAAACGCACTCCAGCCTTCCCTCACACACAGGTCGCTCTGAAGCGCCAACAGTTTAGTTCTAAATGCCCTGATGCCAACCTGGCACAGCCTTCCTGAGTCATTCCTCCTGCTCAAGGAGGCTTCTGTCCTTCTGCTCTCAAGGGAGCGGGAAAGGCTGAGCAGGAAGTGATGCAAGGGGCTTCTTCTTCAATGGACTCTGTTAGCAAACAGATCCACTTTCTTCTGGGCTGGACAGCGTAAGGCCCCGCATACAGACTATGAGAGTAAAAGGAGGCTGGGTGGGCTAAAGCCAGGAAATACAGTGAGGTCTGGCCTGGCCTCCCCGTCCCATCCCGCCTAACAGCACAGTCCAATCAGCTATCACCTGAGACCCCAATGGAGGTATGTAGCTGCAGGACCTGCCCATGACTCAGGTGTGTAAAGCACTCACTGGCACCTGGCACT